TAATAATAATAATAATAATAATAATAATAATAATAATAATAATAATAATAATAATAATAATAATAATAATAATAATAATAATAATAATAATAATAATAATAATAATAATAATAATAATAATAATAATAATAATAATAATAATAATAATAATAATAATAACAATAGTAATAATAATAATAATAATAATAATAATAATAATAATAATAATAATAATAATAATAATGTTATATAAAATGTACAAAAATATGATATAATAATACTCTGATTTTCAAAATACATAATATCATGTGTCATCATAAAACTAGATTACAAAAATGCAAGTTAAAGATTAAAAAAAATGCGTTTTTTCGCAAGCAATGAAAGGATGCAACTTCTATAATGGTAGTATGAGTCTAGACCTATTAGAATTAACGAGCAACAATTAGTAAACATCAATTGAGATAAGCAAGTGGCTCATTCATTATCTAAGCATGAGTGGAGATCAAGCAACCATGAAGACAAGTTTCAAGAGCATCTATTATTGATGAGCACCAAATATATGTAGCTAACACACATCAAATAGATAATAGACAATTGAGAACGTAGAATTATAGCGATGGTTATCATCTTGATAAGAGAGGAGATCAAACGAAATAGAAGGGGGAATCAAATGTTAGTTATTGACAAAAAATAGATGTTAACGTCATTGAAAAAAAATAGATTTTAATTGTTAATATGAGTGATCTCCTAATATGAAGGGATGTCGAGTGACCTATAAGGCTAACATTGAATATTGCTATATATTAATGCTTAGCAAGCATCAAACACTAGTGGATAAAGGATGCCAATCAATATTGGGCATCAAAAGGAGAATGACAAAGGATGTTGAAAGTTCAGTGTTAAAGGATTGTAGGGTCCATCATTCTGGTGACACTACAGAAGTTTGAGTAATCTATATCATAATCAGTAGGCATAAATGATTAATAGATGTCAAATGTCAATCACTAATAGATGTCAAATGTTGATGAAAATAAATTTTGGTTGTGGTAAAGGGTTTATCATAATCATTCTAGTAAAAAGGGAGATCGTACAACTTAGAAGACGAGCTTCAAATATTCACAATTAGAGGATGTCAAACATTAGAAATCACTGTACATAAAATATTAGAAGTTAACATGCATCAGACATTAGTAGTTAAGAAACACCATGTGAAGGTTATTATAAGGTGATTGATACAAAAGTTCTTCCAATAAGAAGGGAGATTAACTGACATAGAATATTGGCTTCAAAAGTTGACAAGAAGCAAATGTTGCATGTTGACATTGCACATTGATGAAAGTAAAAAATTGGTCATTTGAAGGTAATCAATGAAATCATTTTCTTAATATAAGGGGAGACCAAGTAATTGAGAAGTCAAGTGTTAGATGTCAAGAGTTAGCGGGTATTAAATGTTAGTCAATACAATCATCCTCATGATGAAAAAAAAAGGCAATCGTAATTTTGAAGGTCTAGATGTGTGAGAAACCTAAGGAAAAAAGATTTGTGCATTAAATGGCAATCGAAGCTCTAGAATTAGTTATGAATATGATATATTTGTTTTAAATTTTGTTAAAGTATATAGAAATGGAGTCTATATATAGATTTCAATAAGGACCATTTTCACTCTTTATATTGAAATCTATGAAATTGGTGTTTGAATTAGAAGACCCAAATTGATTCCACATTTAACAAGAGATAAGGCAATCTCACCCTTTTGCTAGCTCAATAGGCTTAACCAAACTTCAATATGCTAAAAAAACCAATCGATTGTTGGTAGCGGGGTTTTCCGATTGCTACCTTCGATAACGCTTTGACCAAAAAAAAAAGTCAACATTTTGAAGATAACAATGTCACAAGTTCAACAAAGTTCACATGTCAAAGTTTTGATGATTAGATTATTCAAAATAATTCAACGACGCATTGGATTAAATTTTATCATTACAAAATAATATTGTTGGTCAAAAGTTATTATAGCCTAATAGTTTGTCATGACGAGCAAAATAAAACAACTAATGCTTCATAAATATGAGGCAGTTTAAGAGTTTATTATTCTACGAAAATTTCAAGTCAAATTTTAAGCCACCACAAAATGATTATGAAATTTTATAACTTTTGTACGAAAATTTTATCGTTCTAAGAATAATTAAACACCACAAATGTCTCATGATTTGTTGTGCATAGATACTCCCAAAATATTGAGAAGCCTAATCCATCCAATTTCATGGTGGTATGTTGTCTCACTACAACTACTCAGAACGAGAGCTTTTTTAAGGTCTCAATTCGATAAATAAGTAATTATGTGTACACAAAAGTTATTGATAGAAAATACATAGACCTTAAGAAAATAATTCTCACCGAATATTATAACTTCGACATATTTTAAAGTATGACTAGTTATTATGTATCAATGTGTGGACCTCCTATGGAGACCATAAATCAATATTTTTCTTATTTTAATCAATCATACTAAAACTATACTTGGTATAATAAAGTACCATTTAATCATGTACACTTTTAAATTCATGAAGTCTTTATCTATCTATTATACATAATTTCAAATATTATTCACACTAGCATTAGCTCAAATCCTCTTGAACACCTATATATACAAAGTATTATAATGTCATAATTTGTTGACATTATAAATTCATATCATTAATTCATAATACAATCCTACAAGCTTGCCCTCCAACATTGCATGAGTCATCACTAACACAAACACTTCAACTTGCTCTCCTATATATGTAAGATTCATCATTGCTATAAGCACTTTTGCTTGGTTTTCAACATCCATAAGAGCCATTGAACACAAGTATTTATACTTGCACTCTTGCATCTACAAGTGTCGCTAGCATAAACACTTGAGCTTGTTTTCTAACATTTAAAGGGCTCATTCATTAACACAATTTTTTACTTGTATTCCTACATCTACATCAATTACATGGCACAAAATGCATTTGCTTGCTCTCCAATTCCATAGTGATTCCTTGGTACTAGCAAGTCAACTAGCTCTCTTGCATGAACAATGGCTACTTTAATTTAGCATAAGCATATAATTTGCTCTCTTGCAATAATATAGGCCATCTCATCTTTATTAGGAGTGTTAATATTTGATACGACCCGAAACCCGACTCGAACCTGGCCCAAAAATTTCAAGTTCAGGTTAAGAATTTAGACCCGTTTGTAAAACTAGGTCAAATTCGAGTTGACCAAAAAACCCGAAATCAACCCGTTTTTAATTAATTCAAGAGAATTTTAAAAAATTTCTATGAAATAAATAAATAATATTTACAAAAAATAATAAACCATGTTGTCCAAATTTAATTAAACTTGGTTTATTTTAAATTGATTAAAATAAATTTTATCTTAATTTGATTTATTTAAATAAATCAAATTAAGTAAAAAAAATTAATACAATATACTGAAGCGAGACAAGTTTGGGTCCAAAAAATCAACCCATTTGCAAAAACAAGTCAGATTCAAGTCAAGTCAAACAATGTCAGATCAATCTCGAATTGAACCCGAACCTGACCGATGACCCAATTTTAACAGCCCAAATCTTTATCAACCTATTATATTTTCATGATATCATTTAAGCATTCCTTATCTTTCATCATCATCAAGATCTTGTCTTCTTCACAGCCAACCTCTTACCATGTTATCATATGTTATTCTTTTTATATCTTCATTAGTAACCTATCATAACATGTTATTTTGATATTAAATGTTAGTGGTTTATCATAAACAAGCTTGCATAATCTTTTATAACCTGGATAGATGTTATATTGTTCAATAGCAATTTGAATTAATAATCATGTATGGTCAAAATTTTAGGCAATGCATGTCTATGTTAAGTACAATATGATAGGCTTTCATTCCCTTCCAATAATCACGTATCATTTCCATAAGCAAGCTTCACTTAGGCTTCGTTTGGAACGACCTTTTTCTGTTTCTTACAACAGCTTCTTAGTATAAAAATTAAAAAAAAAATTGTACTAAAAAACTGTTTTAAGAAGTAGAAAGAAAGCCGTCCCAAACGAAACCTTAGTGTTACCTACCAATAAGTAAATTAATTATATCTCACCCTTCTTACTTTACTGCACCATTATCTCTCATCTGAGTATAACCCACCGAGAGAGCTTTATTTATTATTTCTACCTGCAAAACTTCTGCCTGTTATGTTGGTAGAACTGAAACAGAAGTCTATGAACTTCACCATAACTTCCAGTGGCAAAAACCAGGCGGTCCCTAATCCAAATGGGGAGTTTATCAGCAGGTCTTGAGAAATTTTGATTCGAGGAATTGTAAGTGTAGCGCCAGTCTACTAATAACACAGCAGCATAGTCATGTACATGCCTGATGGCTCGGCCTGATACCAGGAAAGAAATTAGTGTGAAAACAAAGCAGCTTTTTATTATAAAAATCAAAATTTCTTACTAAAAAATTGCTTTAAGAAATAATATGAAAGCTTGACGCTTCTTAAAGTAGCTTTCTAGTACATAAATTTTAACTTTTGTACTAAAAAGTTATTTTAAGAAGAAATAAGAAAGCCGTCCCAAACGAGGTCTAAGTAGTGAACTTCGTACCTATGGACTGATTAACCGCTTTCATACACAAGTTGTCGTAGTATTCTTTTCCTCTTTGTTTGCAGCTTCTTAAAATGTCAAAACCAGACTGAACTGATTCACTGCTGCTAGCTCTGCTGGTTTTTTGTGAGGTGTCTCCAAGCCCTTCTATATGCTTAATTCTTTCAATCAATTCAACATCAAATAAACTTGGATATGGAAGTCCAACCATAATAACACAGCGACCCATGCCATCACTGAAGTTTATACCTTCAGAGATCTTTCCACCAACTACGGCAAGGAGAATTGCACCAGAAGTTCCTGGATCAGCTTTTGAATTCCCACTGGGAGGATATATGCTTTCCTTGTATTCCCTAAGAACAACCTCCACATCCACGTTATTTCTGGGTTCTCTAAATAAACGCTTCTTCTTGAGAATTTTTGGCAGAATGCCAGAAGCCTTCCAGGCACTGTAAACCTGTCCTTCGTACTCAAAGGAGGAGAAGAACACAACCATCCCCTCGGGAACTATTGCCACGAGATTGGCAATAAATCGGCCCAGTTCTTCTATCTGAAAAACCAAAAGTTTAATACAGACAAACTTGTTCAGCTTAAAATAAGAACTTTGAAAATACTCGAATATAAACAACGGCCAAGAACAACACGAGATATTTTATTCAATTTATGTATTTACTACATAAAGTATTAGCGCATCAGAGAATGTGTCCTACCAAAGGAACCAAAAAAAAAAAAGCAACACAAGAAACAATAGAAGATTGGATTAGACTTATTTTCTAAAGATTTTCCTTAATGAGACAAGGAATCAAATAGCATTTATTTGGTTTTGAGGAATCAAGATTTTGTCTTAAATGCAAGCACAAATGATTAAGTATATCTCAACTATGAGACTCAACATCATTATTCAGGAGTTCTGCTTGTGTCCTTGATTCCACACAAAAAACAAAAACAAAACAAAAACAAAAAAAAGTGCTATACAGCAAAGAAACAAAAAGAGATTCAAATTCAAAGAGGGTTAATCAAATAAAGGGTCCCGCATACAACAAACGGTGTAAATGACAAGGAGTGTCTTTCTCAAAAATGGATTGCAAGGGACGCTAAGTCAACTGATCCTTAAAGGAAATGCCAAAAAGTACAACAAGGTTTAAGAGGGGCTGCCCATGAAGAGAATGATAGGACTTGCAACAATCCAAAGAATGATGTAAGGAAAATGGGTCTCATAATACACCAAAGGGACTACCTGATGGTGAGGGTAACGATTTTATAACAATTATAGAGCCAATTAAGAGAGCTGGCCAAAGAATGAGGCTTACAACTCAACAATAACGAGAGGCAGTTGCCCAATCTAGATTGGAAATCCCACAAAAGGATGCTAACCTTGGAGAACGAAGGTGGGGCAGATGACTCTACAACAAATAGAGAGAGCCACTGAGATCAGGACTTACAATAATCCTACCAAAGATAAAAAGAACTTCCTAAATCTAATGCAATAGATTTTATGTAGGAATAAATAATAAGCTTACAAGGTGATTTATAACCTAACCCTAAAAGATAAAAAAGCTCGACTCCTAGTCCCATATCTTCTAAAAATTAAAAGCTTACAAGGTGTATTAGAGCAATACATCAGCCGAATAAAAGAAACTAAGTGCTCTTATCTGTTTGGTGGATGATTCTGGGCTAAGAAAACTGACAAGGAAGTTAGTTATCTAAGTAGAGATTGTGAAACCTTTTATGAAAATAAAACTAAACACTAAAATATCGAGACACCTTTTAGTGTAATGGTAAGACTTTCTAATGCGGACAACCGACGGTGGATGATATTCAAAGGAAGAGTCGAAGATCGACGACCGAGATCACTCCGTTTTATTTTAGTTTATTAATTATATTTTGATTTAATTTTGCAATTTTTCTTTTTTACCCTTTTTATTTAAGAGTCTTGTCTTATGTAAGCCCAAGGAGCAAATTTGTCTTTTAGTTTCTTTTGAGGCCAATATATAAAGGCCCCTCTCTTGTATTAGGGATGATAGAATTATAATAAAATTTGTGTTATGCACTTGTGTTCTTTTGGGAGGACGTTAGTGAGATTCCTATGGGAAGGAATCAAAGTTTTCACCAGCCGCAGGATGGGTCCAAGCTCGTGGCTTGAAGTCCCTTGGAGAAGGGCAACGTATCACCCGTCAGTCTTCAGAAGAGTCCAATGCTCCCGATTTTGTCTTCTTCTTTTTTTATTATTCTCTTTATTTTCCTAACCGCCACTTCCCCATCTCTCTTTCTCCTATTGGCCGAAAACTCCAAACAAACCCTAGGCCAAAAGACACCCAACCGCCGGCCCAATCCCCTTCCCAAAGCCGCCGGCCAACATCCATCCCTTGGCTCCAAGATTCAAAATATAACATTCAAATCCTTTCCTAAATTAGATCCCTTTAATTTTGGAAACAATTTAAATTCATATTCAATTAAATTTGAATTCCAGTTTTACTTCATAAATGAGAAAAACTATTTTAGAGAAGTCCCTCAAATCATGCAATTTTGAATTTTAAATAGGAGTTGATTTAAATCCACTTTCCTATTTTAAGATTCTAAATATAGCCACCTTTAACCCCTCATATCAATCACCCATAATCATGCTAGCTGCCGGCCCTACCCCCTTCCTATTTCCTCTTTCCCTCCACTTTTCAAATTGATTATTGAAGCCATTCCTTATTCGATGCATGTTAACTTCAGAAAGTTTTTAAATTCAAATTTAAATTAATTTGAATTTGAAATTCTTTCTTAAAATAGGATGAATTATATTAGGAGGCTTTCCTTATTTCTCCCAATTTGAATTTAATTAAAGACCTGTCATAATTCTTCTTTCCTTATCTTAATAATTCAAGTTTGGAAATTCCTTTAGTCCACATTCATCATATGTGGACACATTCAACGTATGTGGATGCCTTTTCTTTTTCCCCTCTTTTGGCCAACCCCCTCCGTTCTACATCACTTTTATAAAAAACTCTAGAATTAAACGTGCTCGCATAAGAGCAATCTTAAGATGAGTGACCTCCTATGAAGTTACATCAGGGGGATAAAAATGTGAGACCATTAGGTCAAAGCAAGCAATATTTTGATGGTTTTATAAGTTTGAAATATTACATGAAGAGGTAAACAAAAATAACAGACAATCCTATATGAACTTGATATGGATAATGTTCTAATAGATTGTATTATTTATTGACAAATAACTTCCAAATACCAAAAACCATATTTATTGCAAACGGAATTATTCATACAGATTGATTTATGTAGTTAAACTTGAGATCAAGTGTACTTTGTGCATATAAAAGAAAATAATAAATGCAAAAAGTATGTGAATTCAAGAAAGGGGGAAAAAATCAGATCAGATCTGTTGCCATAATTAATTATTAAAATATGAAAATGTAAATGAAAAAAGATTAAATTGGAAAGTTAATATTTGAAAGCTTCATTACCATAAGGATACTTTAGAATATCACATAAATCAAATGTACTTTGTTTTGTAGAATTCGCAAGTAAACGAACAAATCCAACATAAATTACACATTTTGTAAACAAGCAGAAAATAAATAAATAAGTCCTCACCATGCTTGGAGAGCTTCTTGAATTGTAGCTGAAATCAAAAGTTAACCCAGAAGGTCCACAAGAAACAGCAATTGGGAGAATACTCTCTGGAGGAACAATATGTTTGCATGTGAAAAATTGCACTTGATCAATGGAAAGGGCAGGGAGGAGGCGCACCCTGCTCTCCTCAATAGGCTGCAGAGTGCCTCCTGCCAGAACAATTGCATGTGTTTGATCCATAATCTGAATATTTTAAATTCAGAATTAGGTTGCAAATTCTTCAAGAAAGTAAATTTCCAGGAAATAAGTATCAAAATTGCAAGACCTCGGTAAAGATCCTATCCCCTGAAAGCATAACATATTTAAGATAAGCATCTCCTATTTGCCTCGAGTTTAGCAACCTTTGCCTAGATAGTATTATTCTTCCTTCATTGTCCTTATTTGTCAGTCGAAGTAAAACGTCAGCTAAAGCCTGGAAGCTAGACACAATGCTTCCTTCTACATTGATCCTCTGATTATCAGCATCTTCCAAAACAATTTGAGAGCCAACTTTCAGGCCATATCCACTGACCTACAAGGATGATACAAAGCCATCGCATTTAACCAAAAAGTACTACATCAGGCAAACAAGAGAAAATTGGAAAATACCTTGTGAATAATGTTGCTCTCCTTCACATAATGAACAAGTTTGACAAAGTTGATGTTATCAATATCAAGAGAAAATAAGAATTCATTTATTGTCATCGAATTATCTTCCTCAAGAGGAGCACTTTCAGTCAGACAAGCACTAAATTTAGAGTCATCATCCTGATGGCTTAGCAATAATCGAAGGATCGACTTAGTTACTTCGATCAGAGTCTGGATGTACCGCCGATTCCCAGCACCTAAGCATTTTCTGAACTTCTCAAGGTAAAGTTGGAGGTGGGACAGAACCTGCTGCAACTGCGGATGGGCCAATTGTAGTGGGATTAATAAAGTTGAGGAGTTAGTAAAGGAGAGTTCACAATTTCAGGTATACAAAAATGATAAAGTTGAAAGATTACATTTTATTATCACAATTTGTAGCCAAAAGAAGCAAAACATATATCTCTTACCATGAATCTTCCAGACAGAATGCTATTAAAATTTAAATTACTATCATCAGTTATTTGATAAACAAAATGGTGATCAAGTAAAACAAAATATTGAACTCTGAAACTACTTTAATCAATGAATAACATCAGCACAGATGACTTAGACATCTCTAAATTGAGAATGTCTACATATATTTCTAATTTCACTTATTTCAATAGCAACTTGATGTTCTGGAAGACTACCTTAGAAATTGATACATAGCTAGAACTGATAAATGCTGGAAACATACCTGCGCTGAAGTAATCCTTGCATTGTACATATTTGTCAGGGAGTCTGCCAAATTATGTGCCTCGTCTATGATTACAATGTTATTCTTCAGGTTTAGACCAAGTGATTCACGCGAAGATTTCTGGAGAAGGGACTGGTATGGAAGTACCACAAGATCAGCTGCTCTAATCATGTCACGTGAACCATAGTATGGACAAGTTCCAATCTTACTACCCAGTTGATGAAGATCCTCGATGTCCAACGCACCAAGTTCTCGAATTTTATCCTTGAATGATTTTCGTAAATTATGCTTCCGCAACATTGGGCAACCACTGGAATGTTTAGGACGGTGCAATCTCCTATTATTATCTTGAACCTGTGTATCACACTACTACACCATGAGGATCATTGTTTAGACGTTTCTCATTACTTAAAAAAATGTAAATGTTGATATTGTTGCTTCTTTCAGGAGTGAATAAAGCAGCAAATAAGTTACAAACTTTGACAATACTAAAAACCATTACTACCTCAAGTAAAATCCCAAACTCAATTTTTCTATCTCAGGTACTTGAGAATAAAAATTAGCAAGTGTCTGAGCAATAAAAAATATTTCATTATTACAAATTGTCAATAGAATTGCATACCTCTTAAATCAAAGTGATTTTTTATAAGAGATAATAGCAGAACTGTTAATTAAATTTGTGAATCAAATAATAGTTGTTAATTAATTTTATTAATTTGCAGTAGCTTTTTTTACTTTGTTTTACTTTGAAATATGTATTTTATTTGCTAACAAGTTTCTCTTGTAGCCTCTTGTATAGCCTTGTATATTGCTTGTTTCTTGTTAACCTATTATAATATAAGGTGGGTCCTTCGGTTACATCGATCAAGCAAACCAAGGGGCGAACTGAGAGCAACTTGGGAGAGAGACTAACGGAGAGCAATCCAGTAGTGTGAAATGAAGCGTGAAAAAACGAGATTGAAGCAAGAGGTGGGCGTAGGGGCGAAACTGGGAGCTCGTTGTTTCCCTTGTGATTGCGGAAGAAATCGAAGGGAAGGGCATTTGTTCAAGGAAGCGAGGAGAAAGAGTCTTGAGTTTCTTCCTACAAGCTTTGAGATTGTTTGCAAGCGACAACAACAAGAAACTGATCTAGGGCATCGTTGGAGAGGGCAGTTTTGCAAGAAATTGAGGACGAAGAAAGAATCTAGAGCTACAACAAGGTGGAGGTAGATCAGTGAACTATTCTTTCTTCCTCATAATAGATCAGATTCAAGATGATCAGGTGATATTGTTTCTTCTTTGTTTCTTCTTTGTTTCTACATTTCATTAGCTTGTTTCTTGAAAATTGCTGATCTAATTGCTAAATACTATGCTCTTGTAATCTGTGCAAGTTAATAGAAAAAGAAAAACCCTCTTTCTCCCCGTGGATGTACACAAACCCATATCGAACCACGTAAATCTTTCTTTTCTATATTTTCTTTTGGCTGATTTGTTTGTTCTATATGTTCATCTTGCAAATGTTAAAGAGAGAATTGCTGTGGAGATTTATTATATCTGATATTGTTAGTGATTAGGAAAGATTCAATCACTTTGGGTATTTGTAAGTTCATATTAGTGATTATTTTTATATACATCATTTAGTGCAAATGCTTAACTAATTAATTGTAGAATAATTAATTACTTGTTACTGTTTAAATGAATTGTAGCTAAAGATTCATACTCACTAAATATTTAATATATTGTAGACAAATTAGAATTGGATCTCTAGGTCTTTCTTTTATTGTAGTTTGTGGATTCATATTAATAAACTTGAAATAACAATTTCTTATATGCAACTTAAAACCCTTAATTGAAAATCTCAGTAGCTCTCGCTTGGAAATATCCTAAAGTGTTTGGATTTAAAATATCTGAGTAAAAAAGTCTTGAGGATAATATGGATGATTTCAATAAAATTGTAATTGATTTAGAAAATCTTGGAGTTAAGGTGGATGATGTTTATCAGATAATAATCATCCTTGATATGTCGTCAAATAATTAACTTGATCGGGTGCGAATCTCGATGCAAAATCAAACCGGAAACTTCAAAAATTAAATCCGAGAGCACCTAAACTCCGATTTCAGCGAGCTTATAGTCAAACTGAGCGTCTCAGAAATACGAACCCAACAACACAAAATTCAACTCAATCCGAGCCCAAATGAGCCCAAATCATGCACCCAAAGTGCTGTTGAAAAGTCAGTACAATTTGAGTTACCAAACAGTCTCCGATTTTAACAAGCTTATAGTCGAATTGAACGGCTCAACGAAACGAATCCAACGAGCCCAAGATCGCCGAATTCCAACATCACTAATACCTTCAAATGTCTGACGAATGGTGCACGATCAAGGGATTCAATATCAGCCGTCCATTTGATCACTCCCTATTTGCCCCTGATCTCACACCTATTTACAAGTTATGGCACTCCAGAAAATCTATAAAAAGAGCCCTCATTTCTCATGAGAGAGGACTCAAGCAAAGGGGGAAGCAAGAAGAAGAGGAGAAGAGAAGAGTAGGAGGGAAGAGACTCCTCGTCCACCGCCAGAGTTCCACCCAAACTCCAAATGACGCTGGAATTCTACCCGACTTCCATGGGATGCCAGAATTCTGCCCAACTTCCACGGGATGCTGAAATTCTTCCCAATGAACGACAAAGTTCCCTCCTGATGCTGAAACTCCGCCCAAGTGATGTCGGAGTTCTCCTGGACCTTCTGACCTCCGTCGCCAATTTTCTACCCAATGTCGGACTTCTACCGATTATCGGACTTTCGCTGGACATCTATTCGAAGATGGATTTCTTTCCATTGTTGGACTTCTACTCGACGCCGTCCTTCTAACCTTCGTCATCAGACTACAGTCTTTCCGACCTCCGTCGCCCGCCGACTACGGTCCTCCTGACTTACGTCGCCCACCGACTACGGTCCTTCCTACTTATGTCTCCCACTGACTATAGTCTTTCCGACCTCCATCGCCAGCCGACTACGGTCCTCCTGACTTATGTCGCCCGCCGACTACAATCCTTCTTACCTCCGTCGCCAGCCGACTACGGTCCTCCTGACTTATGTCGTCTGCAGACTACAGTCTTTCTGACCTCCATCACCAGACTATGGTCCTCCCGACCAAACGAACACTTAAATAGTGACTCTTTATATTCACATCATATAATGTACTCTATAAAATGTACATCAAGCTAAGGCCTTCTCCCAAGGAAGGGCCTCATTTGTAATCAATTGCAATACTAATGGATTCATTCAAACTGGGCTAGGCCCCGTGGTTTTTCCCCATTTTCAAGGGTTTTCCACGTAAAAATATTGGTGTCTCCTATGAATGCTACACACTCTCTTATCTGATTGCGTGCAGGATTTTCATACAACGCTAAGACGTTAAATTTTATATTTCTCTACCGCCGCGAATACTCCTGGACGCAACAATCCTAAATTCACTTCCTAGATCAAAAACTCATTTTGTTGAAACAATGAAACATGCTCAAGAGACTTTATCATTTGAAGAGGTTCAGAATGCTTTGAAATCGAAACAGATAGAAACCAAAATTGAAAAAGAATTAGTAGGAGCTCTAGGTTTGAATGTTAGCGGTAGATCAAAGAAGAAAACAAATAAACAAAGATGCAAGTGAAGGTCCAAATCTAAAACCAAATTCAAGTGTTTTCACTGTCACAAGGTCATTATAAGAAAAATTGTACTGGTCTGAAAAGGAAGGATACAGGAAAATTAGTTGAATTTGGGGATGCATGAGTAGCATCAGATAGATTTGTGAATTCAAATATTTTGGTTATTACAACAAATTCTAACGGGGAAGATTGGATAATGGATTCAAGCTATTCGTTTCGTATGACTCCTAATAGACAATGGTTTGATTCGTTCAAAGAAGTGGTGGGAAAGTCATTATGGAAAATGTCGCAACTTGTAGAGTCCTCGAAATTGGAATTGTTAGAATTAAGATCGATGATGGAATGATTAGAACTCTTACCAAAGTCAGATATGCGCCAAACCTGAAAAGGAACTTATTGTCTCTCGGTACTCTCGACGCACTCAGCTGCACGTTTAAGGCTGAGAATGGTATTTTTAAGGTGATCAGAGATTCGATTGTGATTATGAAGGGAAAGAGGGAGAATGGATTGTATTATGTATTGGGAAGAACATTGACTGATTTAATAATGTTAAATCTCAACCTCACGATCCAAAAGAAATCAGCGGCTGTGAACAGTAATCCGTGGGAAGACTACCTGGATAGCATTAATTCCTTCCATTAATTTAGCAATAATTGTATTATAGAGTTATTTGTTTCCTTATCAATACACCTTGTATAGATCTATAAATAGGGAGTAGATTGCATAATAAAATTTAAGCTTTTCCCTCCCAAATTCTGGATTTAACATGGTATCAGAGCTGATCGGGAGGCCTTCATTACCGAACGATCCAGCCTTCTGGCGCTGCAAGAGGCCGACGCAGAAGTGCCGATTCTGCCAGTTGCTGCCGTAGACGAACAGCCACGAGGGAAATGAAGGAGACGAAGGAGCAATCATACCCGTCCAAAACCGTCTGTGCGGAAGACCCTTCCGAAGCCAATCGGAAGTCCGTCCCGATAGCTAAACGAGAAACCAATCCTGCTCTTCCGCTCGATCGGCAGGAACCGCACGAAGTCCCGATCGCAAGAGTTGTTTCTATCTCTGGATCCAGCTCGGTGGAGGAGCCTGATCGAAAGCAGGGACGGACACGGGCCAAGCGTCGGGATTGGACTCGGCAGCGTGGATTCGACTGCTGGGGTGGAGTCGGACGGCGGCGTGGCAGCAGGCATTGGAGTTGGCCCGGAAGAGCGGTGGCCTGGTTAGGGCAGAAGTAGGTCACAGCCGGTTGTAGAGCCTAGCCAGACACCGACTCCTGCTTCCACCTTCTCGGATCTTGCCAACCCGAGCTTCGTCCGAGGCAGAGCTCGAACCCGTGCCTCTATCCCTATCCCGATCCAAGCCTTTGTTTTAAAGGATCAGCTGGTGTGTTTTATTATTATTAAAAAAAATCTTATTATCGACCTTTATTGTCGACAAGGGAAATTTATTCCGGGAAGCCTTCATTTGCTAACCAAGGTAGATAGTCTTAATTACTATCATAATGTCAGAAATCAATTCCTCCCAAACCGTTGATCAAATTGAGGAATCAATGGTGCACCAAGGATGAGGTGACCTTCAAAGCGTGCAACCTTCCTACCCTCTAAATGGGAAGAACTACCTGAAGTGGTCTCAATTTGTGAAGACCTACTTGAAGGGAAAGGTAAAATACATCACCTCCTTGGAGGAGGACCAAAAGAAGGAGATCCCAAATTTGGGGCATGGGATGAAGCAGATTTCATGATTATGTCATGGTTGTGGATTTCCATAACTCCAGAAATTAGTGATAAATTTAAGTTCCTTTCAACTGCAAAGGACATATGGGATGCTGCCAGACAAACCTTCTCCAAAGCTCGTGATGCGACTCAAATCTTTGAAGTTAAAGTCAAAGTTGGAAGCACGAAGCAGGGGAGCAAGACCGTGACAGAGTATGCCACCATTCTACAAAATCTGTGGCAAGAACTTGACCACTATAGGTGCATTGAAACCAGATGTCCGGAAGATGCTGCAATCCTAAAGAACTTTATTGAAAAAGATAGAGTTTATGATTTTCTTGCAGGACTGAATGCAGAATTTGACCAAGTTAGGGTTCAAATTCTTGGCAAGGAGGAGACGCCATCACTCAATGAAACTATTTCTCTCATCCGCGCAAAAGAAAGCCGACGAGGAGTGATGTTAGAACCGAAGGCCATTGAAAGCTCAGCAATGGTAATGAACAAAGAATCTTCATGGAAGGAGAAAGGGTAAAGATTCTTCAAAATTCAAAGACAATGACTCACCTTCGTGTAGCTATTGCAAAAAATCAAGACACACAGAGGAGACGTGCTGGAAAATACATGGAAAACCCCCCAGCAAGGAGTGGAATCAAAAGGGTGAAACAAGGAGCACATCAAATGCCAACAACACTACAAGTAAGCCAGAAGCACAATCCAGGCTTGGAGAATTCAATACATAAGATATTGATAAATTGAAACGACTCCTGGTATCTCTTGAAAACCAAATGCTTCTTCTTCACTTGCACTCTCAGGTAAAACCC